CAACCGGGACCATAGGTCTCTTTTCAGCAGCCCAAAGGGCGGGAAGCGGAGGCCTTTGGTCCCGGTTGGTGGCACCAACCGATACCAAAGGGTGGCATTCGTACCGGTTGGTGGCACAAACCGGTATTTGTACCGGTTTGTGCCACCAACCGGGACCAAAGGCCACGTGCTCCCCGTGGTCAAAATTTTAGTGCCACCTCGCTAGTTGAGAGGGGCACGAAGTGGTTTATAAGCCCCACTGCCGCACCCCTCTCGAGCTCCTCTTGATTGCAGGCTTACGGGCCTAATTTTCACTGATATGCCTGATGGGCCTATTGGGCCTTCTGCGGGCCTGAATCCTGGCCCATGGTAGGGTTTCTAGTCGTATTCAGGCCGTGGTGGCCCAGTAGTTGGCACTTTTTTGTTGCTTTATTTATTTATCTATTTTTGTTTCTACTTACAACAAAAAACTTACTGTTGCTATTTTAATTTATTTTATTAAAGTTTATTTATATTATTAAATTTTATTTATTTTACTTTTATAAAGTTTTTTTGTTTCTACTTCTTTATTTTATAAAATTTTATTTTATTTTATTTTGTTTCTACTTATTTATTATATTAAATTTTAATTTGTTTTATTTTATAAAGTTTATTTTATTTATTTTATTAAAGTTTATTTTATTTATTTTATTAAAGTTTATTTATTTTATTAAAGTTTATTTATTTTACTTTTATAAAGTTTATTTTATTTCTTCTTATTTATTTTATTAAATTTTAATTTATTTAATTTTGTTTCTACTTTTTATTAAAGTTTATTTTGTTTCTTTCTGCTTTTCATGTTTTGAACAGAAAATACTTTGATAATTTCAGTGGCACGAATTTTATATAATTTCAGTTTAAAAAATACTAGAGGTTTATAAAAGCATTTTAGTTCATTCCTTTTGCTATTAGAGTTTTATAAAAGTTTTTGAGTTAATTTTCTTTTTGCATGGTATCATCATTTCATCCACATAGTATGTGCAAGAAAGTAGAGAGGGTTACGGCAAAAACTAGATGCACTTCGTGTACAAGACAGACAATCTCCTTTGAAGTATGAGGATTTCATACGGAAACTCGTCTATTACAAAGGGATTTCATTTTTTAAACTTATTTGAACTCCGGAGTTTTTCTGTGTTCAAAATGCACCATTGAAAGCCACATTATCAATTTTCAACCTTTTCTGACTTCATTTGTTATTTTTCATGCATTTATTGATTACTTTGAGGTATAAGACCCTGAAATTGAAAAGCATTTCAAATGAACTATGAAAATGTTGAAAGTTGACATGGTATCATCATTTCATCCACATAGCATGTGCAAGAAAGTAGACAGGTTACGGCAAAAACTGGATGCACTTCATGTACAAAACGGACAATCTCTTTCGAAGTATTAGGGTTTCATACGGGAACTCGTCTGTTACAAATGGATTTCATTTTTTTGAACTTATTTGAACTCCAGAGTTTTTCTGTGTTCAAAATGCACCATTCAAAGCCACTTCATCAATTTTCAACCCTTTCTGACTTCATTTGTTATTTTTCATGCATTTACTGATTATTTTGAGCTATAAGACCTTGAAATTGAAAAGCATTTCAAATGAACACTAAAAAGGTTGAACGTTGGCATGGTATCATCATTTCATCCACATAGCATGTGCAAGAACGTAGAGAGGGTTACGGCAAAAACTGGATGCACTTCGTGTACAAAACGGACAATCTCTTTCGAAGTATGAGGGTTTCATACGGAAACTCATCTGTTACAAAGGGATTTCATTTTTTTGAACTTCAGAGTTTTTCTGTATTCAAAATGCACCATTCAAAACCACAACATTAATTTTCAACCCTTTCTGACTTCATTTGTTATTTTTCATGCATTTACTGATTATTTTGAGCTATAAGCCCCTGAAATTGAAAAGCATTCCAAATTAACTCTGAAAAGGTTGAAAGTTGGCATGGTATCCTCATTTCACCCACATAGCATGTGCAAGAAAGTAGAGAGGATTACGGTAAAAATTGGATGCACTTCGTGTACAAAACGGACAATCTATTTCGAAGTATGAGGGTTTCATACGGAAACTCGTCTGTTATAAAGGGATTTCATTTTTTTAACTTGTTTGAACTCCATAGTTTTTCTGTGTTCAAAATGCACCATTCAAAGCCACGTCATCAATTTAGTACATATAGCTCTCATGAATAGATAAGTGACCAAATTAATAGAAGTTCATCATCACATTAAAACACAAAGTACATACATAGTTCTCATTGAACAACATATAGCTCTCCAGAGCATCTAGTTAAACCATAAATTGAAACTATGTAAAACCTTTCAATGCAACAACAAATGCGATCATAATCACAACCAAGGTAAGAATTGATCCAACGGCATAATGATACCAAACCTAGGTATGAATGACATATTTTCTAATCTTTCTAATCTTCAACCGCATTGTATCCATCTTGATCTTGTGATCATCGACGACATCCGCAACATGCAACTCCAATATCATCTTGTCCTCCTCAATTTTTTTCCTTCAAGTAATTGTTTTCTTCTTCAACTAAATTTAACCTCTCGACAATAGGGTCGGTTGGAATTTCCGGTTCAACTACCTCCTACATAAATAAAATCTATGTCAACTTGATGGGCATAATTGTCATAAACAATAAATGAACCAAATAGTTATAAAAGATAATATATACCACATCCAAATCATAGCCAGGACGAGGGCCGACGGGGGCGGATACCAAAACCATCGCACTATATAATTACAAGCAATAATAAAAGTAAGAAAATTAGACAAGTATCTATCTAAAGTAAGATTTTTTTTCTTTCAGAAGAAGATAAGAACAAGAGGCTCACCATGGTGGTGCAGGCGACGAGATTGGCGCGGGCGATCGACGGCGGTGAAGACGGGGACAGGACGTGACGGACCGCTAAACCTAAACAAATCTCGGGGAAAATGGAGTTTGGAGGTCGAGCTTCGAGAGGAGAAAGCTTAACTAGCGTGGCTCGGGCATTTCATCAAACACCTCATGTGCATAGGAGGTGAGCTAGAGCACCCAAATGCCCTCTCCTCGCCAGCCAGAAAAAACAAAGCACTGTGGAGTGCTCTGCTGCGGCGACGTGGTATATATAGGCAACTCATTTGTTCCGGTTCGTGGCTGGAACCGGGACTAAAGCCCAACCTTCTGTCCCGGTTCGAGCCAAGAACCGGGACCAATGTTTGTGGGCCAGGAGCGAGGCCCATTGGTCCCGGTTCGTGCCTAGAACCGAGACAAATGGGTCCATACGAACCGGGACCAATGCCCACAAGGCCCTGGCCGGCCCCCTGGGCTAAAGAACCGGGACGAATGCCCCCATGGGTCCCGGTTCGTGAGTGAACCGGGACTAATGGGCTTGTCCTGCCCGAACCAAAGCCCTGTTTTCTACTAGTGTATATTGTTAGTCCAAATATTCATGTGTTCATATAACCAAATTTCATTGAAATAAATTGCAACCAATTTGCACGACATCACACGGGGGATCATCTACTCCCTCTGTAAATAAATATAAGATCATTTTAGTGATCTAAACGGTCTTATATTTATTTACAGAGGGAGTAGTTATTTATATGGACTGTACATTATGACAAAGATACATCATCCTCAAGTCATATGAGATTTAACTATCTATAGCAAAAAGTAATTGTATATACCTTTCGAAGAATAGTGGAGCACGGAGAAATTTGCAGAAGCACATCATACCTAAACTATCTAGTGTGGCCTAAATGTGTCACTAGTTATGACCTGCCCTAGCGATACGACACTATCCTATCTTGAGGACATGGTGTGCTGAAACATGTATGTCGTTATTACACACCGTCAACTCTAGGGTGCATGTGACCCTAGTTACGACCTACCCTTGCGATACGACACTATCCTATCTTGAGGACGTGGTGTGCTGAAACATGCATGTCGTTATTACTCATCGTCAACTCTAGGGTGCATGTGACCCTCCCAAAAGATCTGACCATCCGCCGCTAAAGCTATCGCCCGGATAGAGTCAGATATCGGCAATGCAACGCGACACAAACCGCGTCTGCAACTATCGTCGGTTCTCGTAAAACAAGATCATCACATCACGACTATCTGTTGTGACACAAACTTTGTTTCTAGTACTCACCAACCGCTCAAAACCGAGGGCCACCGAATTCTAAAACCACTGGCTATATTACCACCACAACTTTCCAACAGTAACTCGACGTGTACGTCAAGTTATCAACGAACCGACAATATGGTATACAATCACATTACACACCCTCTTTTCCAGCAAAGATCGAACCTTTTTTATCCAATAATATTTGTTGAAAAAATATTTACATTTTCTAAAAGACAAGGTAATGAAGCCAGTCATAGCGGGGAGGTGGTAATTTTGCATGGAGCAAAACAAAGGAGCACTACATAATGGTTTGCTATAATAAGCCCAATACCATCACAAAATCATGGAGCACATTAATTCACAGCAAAGCTTCATGTGCACAACATCAAGACATGCCCCTTGCTTGACAGCAATGGTAGGAATTTATTCACAGATATGGACCCGGTGGACTGGTAGTCCTCTGGGAGTAGTAAGTAAAAAGAGGGGAAAAAAAATACAGAAGACCGGGCAGGGCAATGCAGGCCGGTGCGTATCTGGCGGGTGTCAGCCGCCCCAGGGGCGTGGGTTGGTTATAAACCCTAGCGTAGCGGCGGCGGGGCAAAGAAGGGTAGAGAGAGAGAGATTGAGCGCCCGTCAGACGTCGTGCGCGGCGCAGGGTTTTGCCGAGATTTTCCTAAAAAAGGGCGTCGCCACCGTACCGAGAAAAGAAAAGGGAATACGAGGCGAAAAAACACACAAACTCCTCTCCTCATCGCCTCTCCTCGCCCCCTCTGCCCTTCCTCATCTTCCTCCCGTTCGGTTGTGGCTCCGTCTTCCCTCACGATTGGTGCCCGGGCGCCGCCGCCATCGCCATGGACGGCCTGCACGGCGCCGACGCCTGCTTCTCCCCCGGGAGGGCCATGTCGCCGCAGGTCCGGCCCCCCGCCGGCCCGCCGGACGTAGGCAGGTAAGGACGGTCGGACGGTCGGCGGCTGAGATTGGGTCTCGCCTTCTTCTTCTTCTTCTTCTTCTTCTTCTTCTTCTTCTCTCTGGTTGAGAAAGATTGGTTCTTTCGGTGCGTTTTGCTGGGTGGACGGCCTCGCTGAATTGGTTGCCTCTGTTTTTCCGTGCCCGTCGGATTGGATGGCGTCGGTGCCGCCGCAGCCACTACTTGGCGGAGCTGTTGCAGGAGCACCAGAAGCTCGTCCCGTTCACGCAGGTGCTACCAATCTGCAGCAAGCTGTTGAGCAACGGTGAGAGCCTCGATTCGCTTCCTCGCCGCCGCCGCCCCGTCTAGCATTATTGGCCTAGATTGGAATTCGTCCTTGCTGACTCGCCGTCGCCTGATTGCTTTTGTTTCTCTCCTGTTGATGCAAACCTGCTCTGCTTGACTCTGTATTGGCCTCAAGGCGCAGCCCTCTGTGTCTCTCTGTGTGTGTCGTAGGTCTTTAAAGCATGGAGTAGTATGTAGCTTGATTCATACGATTCTTCAGTGTCAGCAAGTTTTTCACGTACGTTTTCGTGCTAACGCTGTCTTCTGATGTTTGCTCTTGTGCTCATGCTGCCAGAGATAATGCGGGTGACCTGCCTGCTTAAGCACCAGCATGGCGGGGACTTTGAGAGGCTGCCGCCGATGGCGAGTCCAAACCAGATGCATCATCATCCGTCGCCCCCAATGCCTAATTTCTGCGGAAATGGTTTTGGCCCGTGGAACCACGGGGCGCATCCAGAGGTAATTGCGTTAGTTATCTGAGATGATGACATGAGGGTGGCATATTCAGTCATCCATCATATCTGATCGCATCAGCTGGTAATTAATCTTTAAAAGAGAAAGAATGATACACAAGATCCTCTCTTGGTGATGTGATGGTTGCAGCTACTTTGTGCATGTTAATTGTGTACTTGTGTATCATTCCGTTTAACGATAGTATGGATGCGATAAGTTGCATCCTCACCATCACATCTGATCGCATGGTATTCTTAGGAACGTAGTCGTAGTCTCACCCTTAAGCCTATCTCTCTTAATTGCATATTTGCCATGGAGACAGAGCTCCGAGGCGTAAGCTGAGTTGATTCAGAATTGCTACCTGAATTTTCTGTTTCGATATGATATTACCATCTTCTGGTTTGCGCTCAGCTCAGTTTCTAACAAAGTTGCAGTGCACTGGAAACATATACAGGTTCCTTTTATTCTGTTCCACCTTTCCCTCTGCTGTAAATGCTTGCCGAAAATTGGCAAGTCTCTCTCTTCAAACGCACCAGGTGGATAATTGGGTGTAAATATTTTTGTGCTGATTGATGTGGCGAGCTTACAAGCAAGATATATTCTTGATTTTCTCATTAACGCAGTGGCCGTAAATAAATAAGCAGATATGCCTATAACAAGTCAAATATTGCGTCGGAGTCTTTTTCAAACTGAAGTTCTATAAATTCTGGTGGAATATTAAGCTGATTTCTTTATTGATTGCTCCTGTTTTAGAATTCATATCATGCTCTTCCACAAAGAGGCAATCCATATTATTGTGTCTTGATCTAATGAGGGGTAGCTGCTATCTTATGCATGTTTTATTCCTTAATGAGACTTGAAATGCGCAAGTTCAGTGGATTTGTTTTGAACAAAAAGACACTTGACGCTTAAGATTATTGTATTGAACTAAATCCTTATTTGTTTGAGAAGCATTAAGAAACTGGATTGACTTGAACATAATCAAATTTGGATCTTTAGTTATGTTTGTCCTACCTGTTTGCAACTGGTTACACCGCACTCTCAATTTTTATGTTATGCTTATTATGTCCTAAGATGTGCATGTGCAAAGCCTTACAGTTCTGTGGTTGATCAGAGGGTAGGTTTTCCTCAAGGACCTGTGGGTTGGCAAGGAGCACCACAAAGCCCCTCTTCATACATTGTCAAGAAGATTTTGCGGTTGGAGATACCAACAGATACTTACCCTAATGTACGTTATTATTTCCATACTTGCAATGTTTACTAGTATGGAGTCATTATTTACTCTGCTTACTCTGCTTGTCATACTTGTTCAGTTCAATTTTATTGGCCGTCTTCTTGGGCCAAGAGGAAACTCGTTGAAGAGGATTGAAGCCTCTACGGGTTGTCGTGTTTTTATCAGAGGGAAGGGCTCAATTAAAGATCCTGGGAAGGTAAACATAATTCTTGTATGGAACCTCACTCTGGAACCTGGCATATATATACATATATTGCTGTGTATGCAACTATACATATCTGAAATTCACTACATCACTAGTATAAAGTTATACTTCCTCGTTGAGTCACTTATTTTGGGACGGAGGGAGTATTTTCGTAGTAGGCAACTTGCAGTTGTGTACTGATCTTCTCAGTGTGTTCAGCAAGCCTGCAATGCTCATCTGTCATTGTTATCATTTCTTGAAGGAGGAACTGCTGAAGGGAAGACCTGGTTACGAACACTTGGATGATCCCCTGCATATCTTGATTGAAGCAGAGTTACCTGCCAATGTCATTGATGCAAGACTCTCAAAAGCACAAGAGATCCTAGAAGAGTTGTTGAAACCAGTGGTACGCGTGCGTGTCTCAACTAACTTTTATTGTTTTTCTATCATTGTTCATTATATTATATTATGTAGCCATTTAACAAAGTAGCAAGTTGAAACATCTTAATACGAGTCCTCCAGAGATTAGCATTATACTCCCTTCTATCCCATCTTAATATGAGTCCTCCAGAGATTAGCATTATACTCCCTTCTATCGAAAATAAGTGTCGCGGTTTTGAAATTAGCATTATACTCCCTCCGATCCAAAATAACTGTCGCAGTTTTGAACTAAATAAGTGTCGCAGTTTTGAACTAAGGTTGAACTAACCTTAGTTCAAAACTGCGACACTTATTTTGGATCGGAGGGAGTATTATCTTCGCTTGATTGTATTTCCCCTGCTTCATTTCTCACAAGTTTATTTTCCTATCACAGCTCCTATTTTTGTCCTAGAGCAGTACTAATTATTCACCCACTAAAGCTAAAGCAGTAGTTTTGCACGATATAATGAACAAAACTAATCAAGTGTGGTTTCAGAAAGGCATGCAGAGTGAACTTATGTCCTTCTGTCTTTCTAAATCTTGCCTCTGTCATATTTTGTTAGGATGAATCACAAGACTACTACAAGAGGCAGCAACTCCGTGAGCTTGCCATGCTGAACTCACCGCTCCGAGAGGAGAGCCCTCGTCTAAGCCCGCATCCAAGTCCGCACCCAAGCCCGCATCAAGGCGGCGCTTCACCCTTCAGTAACGGTGGGATGAAACGAAGCAAACAATGACTGCAGAGGCCTGCTCCTCCCAACTTTGACCCTTCCAGAAACCTGCTCTCAATCGGTGCCCTCACAACCTAATTTTTCATGAGCAAGCTTTCATGATGGTGTTGGCATCCGTGCGAAACCTGTGTTACTAGTAGAATTTTGATGAGTCTCCCTTGTGACATTAGCCTGTGATGACTGACTGAGAATGATCTATGATAGCGAATCCTCCGCCTTTATAATTAGAACATTTGATTTATTTGTTGTTGGTAATCATCAGATATGGCACTGTGCAGAATTCCGAGTTGCTGTGGGCTAGGGTGCTGGGATTTTTATCCGACTTTGGTGACTTTTCCTGAGTCTGAGCCACAATGGGAGTAGTGTTTACCAGTTACCAATTTGTGGTATTCATTGCCGTAGTGCTGCATCGCGCTGCCAGCTAAATTCTCCTGCAGTTGGTGATATTCTGCAAGAGAAACCTAGGAATCGAGACCCATTTTACCTGCTTGATGACTATCTTATGAGGGTCATAGAGCAGCAGTCTTCATCAACCCCCAACTTTCTAAAATAGAACTCCCAACTGCCCTCTCTGCTCACCCTCCTGCAGCAGTTCCTTCCTTCCGCTGTTGCTGGTGCTACACAGCTTCTCCTAGGACCACCCCTACATTAGGGTTAGGGGCAGGGTCTCCAAAGACTTGCGCATGAGGATATGGTGGCGGTGTATTATGGCAAGGTGGTAGCAGCTGCCTGATACATGGGAGGTGGGAGGCTGCATCGGCATAATCGCGTCGGCATACTGTGATTAGAATGTAGGGGAAAGGGTGTCGAGGGCGGAGATGAGGATGCAGGAGAGAATATCCGTTGGAAATCATCAAGTTACAGTGAAAACTATGTTTTGAAGTTTCGAAAAAGTACAATATGTTCAGGAAGTGTACTATTAGCATGTAAAATTTCAAGTTCAAACTCTAATTCAGACGTTAATAGAACACCACCCTTACCATACTGTATTTTTTATGGGACATTTGAAAACTTTCAAATTTGGCCTCTTTGAAGTTCTTGTTATAACTTGTTTTCATCAGATACTTCTCTTACGGCAACGATGCACCAAATGGGTGATTTTCCAGATAGACTAGAAATACGATTTCTGGGGGGTTGTTGTTTCTTGTGCTCTTGCTCCTAGCGAACAACAGTTTGTCATCTTACTCTGCTGGCTGCTATTGGGATAGGGCCGCGCTACGCGGAAGATCCGTCGCCTCGGCAACCGTCAGATGTATAGTTATCCAGCGTTCGACGTTGTTCTCACCATTGCAATAAGGACAGTGTTGCAGAATACTTTGTAAAAAATACCATGTTACAGAAATTTTTTGAACACAGGTGATGTTGCAGATGTTTTTCTTCACTTTTGTTGCAACATGGGTGTTGTTGCAGAAAAAAGATGCAACAGAGATAGTGTTGTAGAAAATATTTGCAGTATTTTTTCGTCTTTATTTTTTGCAACATGATTGTTGTTGCGGAAGGCATTTTTGCAACACAGATGATGTTACATCACATAGAGAAGGCTGCGGATGGCTCGCGTGCGATCCGCCGCCTGAAGGTAAGCATTTCCCATTGGGATATTTGGTAAACACATGCATTGTAGAACCCTCTATGTACTTGTTTAAAATGTGCATAACACACTATACTACATTTAACTGGCACACATTCTCTTATAGATGGATGTTATTTTTTAAATACTTATGCTTTGTTTAGATTTAGATGGAATCAATTTCAACAAATTCTGCTAAATTAAATTTCAAAAATAAGAAATTTACTGTGCCATGGGGGAGGAGGGTCGCTTTAGCATGAACAGAGTTTGAATGATAATGTGTTCGAGTTGTGACTTTGACTCTGAGTATTATTATCTGACTACTAATGCTGCAAGATGCAAACTGGCAAAAAGGTCAATTAAATTGAGATTAAAAAGGAAAAAAAAGTCTAGTATAAATCAGCTGAGAGAGCATGAAACAAGACATCCGGTCTCATCGATCTTAATAATGTTGTCATCATTTCTGTTGTGTCGTATTGAGTGGTTATTTTGACACCAGCCTCCCTGATATGTGCTTTCACATTAGGGATGGATAGATGAATGCAAAACACTAAAAGATGGATGGGATATCATGCTCGTCTGCTCAACCATAAGAGATGAGATCAATGAACACAAACACAAAGTTTTAGCGAAACCACCCCGGATGTCTAACATATCATATATATGTTGAAATCTAGTGTGACACCACTCTATCATTGGTGCAATTGGTAGCCATGACCGCATGAGCAAACAACCATGAAGCAACACTACTAGGAAAAAGGCTATAGGTAGATACTTAGTAGTAGCATGGGGTGAGCTTTGAACAAGCGCTACAGGTAGTATGTAACAGTAGCGCGGGATACCCCAACAAGAGTTGCTGCTAAGTGGGCTCCGCAGTACCCCCACGGGCTGGCCACAGTAGCAGCATGGGTCGATGGCCCGTGCTACTGCTAAGCCCGTTAGTAGTAGCGCGGTGCTACAACCCCCGCTGCTACTGTGGCCAGCCCGGGCCCAGCTCCCCGGCCCACTTAGCAGCAACGAGTGCTCTGACCCCGCGTTACAGCTAATTGGCTTAGCAGTAACGTGGGCCGTACCCCGCTCTACTGCTAAGCTAGCCCTTTCTTCTTCCTCCATGGCCCATTCCACTACCTCTCCCTCACTCGTCCCTCACACTCTCGCTCTCTCTCTCTGCCGCCACCATCGCCCGTCGTCGCCCCCGAGCTATCTTCCTCCCTCCTCCCTCCTCCCTCCTCTCCCCTCCCGCCGTCCATGCCCGCCTCCCTCCTCTCCCCTCCCGCCGTCCATGCCCGCCTCCCTCCTACTCGTCGCCCGCGGTCCTCCTCCCTCCCTCCCCCCATCCCGGCCTCCTGCCTCCCTCCCTTCCTTCCTTCCTCCTACCTCCCTCCCTCCGTCCCTCCCTTCCTTCCTCCCTCCTCCCTTCCTCTCCCCCATCTATGTTTTTTTGAATAAAATAGAACATATAGGTTATATGAATAGAATGTAGGTACTTTGAATAGAATAAAATAGAAAATATAGGTAGAATAGAGGTTTTTTGAATAGAATAGATAGGTAGAATTTTGTTGTAGAATATGGATAGGTACGTAGAATGGTCTTTTAAATAGAATAGAAAACTACTGAATAGGTTTTTTGAATATAAAAAAAATTAGTAAAAAAATATAATAGAAAATTTTCAATTATAGAAATGTATTGGAATGGTATATGAGAAATTGTTAGGTATCATATTTAGTAATAAAAAATTAATAAGAAAATTTAGGTATAGAAATTTTTAATAATTTTCTTTTTCAATATAGAAATGTACTGGACAATTTAACTACTTTTATGTCATTATCACTTTGTCATAAAAAAAGAGATTTGATGATCTAAAATTTTCACTCGGTGGAATATGCAGGCTTTGTAGTGTTGCGTCTTCCTGGAGTGATCGTCGTTGGAGCTACCTCTACTTCCTCTACACCCGAGTCGGTGAGCTAAAAGTCCACCTCCTCCTTCTCTTCTCCTCGGTGTTGAATAGAGTAGAACTAAGTCAATCTCACATTGCCAAATTTAGAGAGAGGGAGAGAGAGAGATACCTACTTCCTTGAAGAACTAGGGTATTTAGTTATGCTTTTTGTCCAAATGAAATGTTTGGGTTATAAGATATATTGAAATGTTTTTGTCAATATTGAACCATTGCAATGCAATGAGCACCAAGTTTGAATGCTCCTGTGTTAATGCTTATGTGTGGCGCATGGTAGATCACCGACAAGCCGATCGACAACACCCAGAAGATCACCAACGACACCCGCGTCCGGTCGACAGCCATCGTCTATAGTGAGTAAACATGGTCTATGTGGTTGCTTAAATACAGAAATGAAGGATATATATATAAGCAACCACATAGACATTTTGGTGTGATGCACTTTCGAATGAAAGTAGGAGCTACCATCACCTACGGTCGCAAATGTCAGAGAGGAAGAATCCCGACTGTCATCGTGGGTTAGCTTCTCCTTTGTTCCCGTGTGCTAGACATTTTGGTGTAATGCACTCGGAGATGAAGGGAGGAGCGACCATCAACGATGGTTGAATATATCAGAGCGGGAGTGCCCACCATATACACCATGCGAGATGAGAGTTTTCAAGGAAGACTCGACAGACCGAAAGTCAATCGTGATGAATAATAATGATTTGTGTGTTGAGTTCCTGGTAATTGCCATCGATTTATAATCTTTGAATTTTGAACACAGGAAATGTCTGACGATGATATATAGGATACCGGAGTGCGAATACCGCTACAATGACCGGGGTTTGTGCGAAAGGGAGCCTCACCTGCAAAATGGCATGTTCTTCACTGTGAAGCTGGAAGAGACCTTCGATGTTTGTACGGTACGCAACGACAAGTATTTCATCGTAATTAATCATGACTTGTGCTTCTTTGCTTCAACGTGTAATTTCTGTGTTTTTTTCAATTTGACTAGTACATTGATGACCCACAAGTATAAGGGATCAATTGTAGATCTTTTCAATAAGTAAGAGTGTCGAACCGAACGAGGAGCAGAAGGAAATGAAAAGTAGTTTTCAGCAAGGTAATGTCTGCAAGTGCTAAAATTGTAAGTAACAGAGTAGTTTGATAGTGATAACCCACAGGTATAGGGGATCGCAACAGTTTTCGAGGGTAGGGTATTCAACCCAAATTTATAGATTCGGCACAAGGGGAGCCAAAGAATATTTGAAGGTATTAGCAGCTGAGTTGTCAATTCAACCACACCTAGAGATTAATTATCTGTAGCAAAGTGATCAGTAGCAAAGTAGTTTGATAGTTTTGATAGTACTGACAGTAGCAACGGTAACAGTAACAGTGATAGCAGTAGTTTGTAGCAGAAACAATAAGGATAAATTCATAGGCATGGGATCAGTGACATGTTGGATGATATTCATCATGAGACAGTTATAACATAGGGAGATA